AATTTTCTATTTAACCAAAACAACAGTTTTATATACAATCTCTTAACATAATTGAATTGTTGCCCTAATGAAAAAATATGTAGAGTTGAAGTTAGAAAGCCATTTAATCCAATAATTTCTCTTCCTATCAGCAATAGTGTATTTTATGCTTCTTTATAGTCAAGAAAATATAGTTCTTTCTTAGAATAAATGTTAACTGACAGGTGTAACAAAAATACTGGATGCTGTAACTAGGTATGGTGGCATATGCCTTTAATTCTAGCACTCAAGAGTCAGAGGGCAGGCAGATTTCTATTAGTTCAAGGGCTATCCTGGAGTACATATGGAGTTCCAAGACACCGAAGGCTACTAGTTAGATCCTGTATCAAAAACAAAAACAACAATTAAAAACAAAACTTGTTTTCCTACTTATCTAGAATTTGACATATTCTACATAGTTTTTTAGTTTAAGTATGTACTGTTGCCACTGTGTAGAACATATGATAAACTGTGTCTATCGATCCTGTATAACTTCTTGGAACATTTATATTTGTTTTGCTACAGGGTTCTGTTTTCAAGTTCCCCATTAACAATCTATTCATACATTCAAAACCAAAGTCAGACTTTTGAATGGCCTATTGGTGAATTTCCTTTTGATCAGAATCAAGGGTGGGTCAGAGGCAGATCTAGACAGATTAGACCCTAATCTAAGCAAGTAGGCCTGGAAATTCACTAAGCAAGCACAATTTTAGTCACAGGATAGTGTGAACAACATCATTTTTGGATGTATGGCCCCTCTCCTTTGATGATGTAATTAATATTTCTTGGGTTTCATTTATTCAGAGTTGAGGAAAAAGGTATTTACTCTGCTGAAGTAAACTCTTTAGGCCTCCTCTGAGTATATCAGAGTTACTGAGCTTACTTTCCTCAGTACTGGGGCACGTGAAAGAAACAACACATTCTAAACAGAGTAGACTAAAGATGTTTGTGTTTACCTTGGGTTCATTCTGATCTTGGATTTTGACTTTGCAATGACAGTCCTCCAGAGTGCATGGCAGGGATTTTGTAGCTCTAAGAAACCTTTGTAATCACTGTTTCTCAAGTATGCCTTCACTTCTGTCTCCCTACACATGCACAGTGGCAGTGAATTTCTAAAAGAACCACTTTCCTTAGATTTTTAAGTCTTTTAGGTTTTCTTGGGTAGTAGTGGTGGTGGATTTTCTGTTAAATTTAAAGCAGCAGAACAGATAATTTGATTTCTCTTGATGGCAAATTTTCTCAAATTCTTTTAATGTTAAGTAACTCAAGGGGAATTCATTATAGTATTATCCTCTGTACTCCATGTTCCCAAGTTTTATGGCATTGAATCCCTAGCTAGTACTCCACTGACAAGCTCTTACACAAACCACTGGCTTGGAACAGCCTCTAGAGCTTTGTGGTGTGTTTCCTATGTAACTGCCTACTGGGATGAGACTGTTTTGTCACATAGATGCTTCCTTGCATTGGAAACCCCTTCTGAAATCAATCATAAGTAAGCAGCACAAAAACACATATATTCTTAATAATCATGAAGGCAAATGTAAAAATTAGAACATCTGAGAGATAGCCCACTACTAACAGTATTTAAGGACATAGGAAGTGACTCAGGGATTCTTTTTGTTTTAAAACCTGATTGAATGATTTCGTATTTTTCAACCTTTTTGAATTTCAAGACAAAACTTTCATTTTAACAAGAACTCTCAATAATAAATGTATAAACAAGCCAGGGGTTGCTTGTAATTATGAGTTAATCAAATAGTTCAATTCAACTCAACAAATATTAATTCAATATAGTGTAAGACACTAAATCCAAGAAGTACTTAAAGGATGAGTGAAAAGCATTCCTTGATGTGAGTTTGTAATGGATATGGGATGGTGTCAGAGTGTGACTGACAAAGGAAGAACATGCTTGTCTTAGTTAGAGTTTCTAACTAAGTTTCTAACTAAGCAACACCATGACCCTGGCAACTCTCATAAAAGGAAAACATTTAATTAATTAAGTGGCAGCTTACAGTTCAGAGGTTCAGTTCATTATCATGATGTCGGGGAACATGGCATCATGCAGGCAGACATGGTGCTGGCTTCAGAAGGCAACAGGAAGTGGATTGTCTCACTGGAGTGGCTTGAGCATATATGAGACCTCAAAGCCTGCCTCCACAGTAACACACTTCTTCCAACCAGACCACACCTACTCCAACAAGGCCACACCTCCTAATAGTGCCACTCCCCTTGAGGGCCATTTTTTTTTTTTTTTCAAACCACCACAATGCTTTGGTCTTTGACAAAAGATACTCTGTAAATCAAGGAAACCTGCAAAGAGTGGGGGAAAAACTGTTTTGAAGAATGAATATCAACAAAATGGAAAATCACAGGATGAGACAGAAAGGTTTTCCTTTTCACAAAACTAATTCAAGTTGCTGCATTAGGGCTACAGGTTTAGAATATGAAGGAGGACAGGGACAGAGTGTTGATAGGGTCCTCTCCTGAGGCCACCTTTGGAAGCTCATATTTTAAACTTGAAATACCAACTGATCAAAGCAAGGAGACAATTAAGTGGGAGCATCATTTAAAATATTGCAATTGGACAGTTTTTCCCATTGGACACCTTTGTAACACCTATTCCATCCAGTCCTGACAAATTGTGTTTGACTCAGGTAAAAAGCCCAGTCATTGTAATAAAACCCACTATCTCATATACTAACTAACTAAAACAAATAAACATGAGTGGGTGTCTAATTATTAGAGGCAGCAGGATGGCTCTTTTAAAAATATTCAAACAAGGTTTGGGACTCCTTTTTTTAAAAGTTTTATTTATTTTGTGTACTGTGTTCTGGCTGCATATATATGCCTGCACACCAGAGGAGGGCATTAGATCCCATGTGTGAGCCACGATTGAACTCAGGACCCTTGGAAGAGCAGCCAGTGCTCTTAACTACTGGGGAAAAACTAAAAGGGATTGTGTACTTTCCCACTAAACGCGGCAATAAGCAGGGAAGCATACAGGGTCTTTCTTTCAGTATTCATTTCAGTTTTAGACCAACGGCTCATTGCTAAGAGTTAGAAATTTTTATCAACCATGATTAGGTACATGGTTTTCAAATGGCATGCTATTACATAAAACAGCATAGTAGTTTCTTATACACAACTCAGGGATATTAATTTTTATTTCTGTTTAAAGTATCTTGGTTGCTGTCTTAGGGTTACTACTGCTGTGATGAAAAACTAAGAAGTTGGGAGGAAAGAAAGTGCTGCCAGGCAGTGGTGGCACACCTCTTTAATCCCAGCACTCGGGAAGCAGAGGCAGGTGGATCTCTGTGAGTTTGAGGCCAGCCTGGTCTACAGAATGAGTTCCAGGACAGGCTCCAAAGCTACAGAGAAACCCTATCTTGAAAAACCGGAAAAAAAAAATTTGACATGAAACTAGTCAGTAGTCTATATTCTACTTAATTTTAAGTTTCATAGCCTCACTACTAACCTTCTATATTCTGATGGTTTGCATAAGTTTCCTTTTGTACTGTCCATCCTTTCCCTACTATATTTTTTTCTGTGGTGCAGATTGAACCCTGGGCCTCATTCATGCTAGGCAAGAGCTCTACCACTGAGCTACATTCCTAGCTCTAATTAGTTTAAATTGTAGTTATTATTATTTGTCAGTGAACTTATAGTTGTTAATGGACCAATGGTTATATTTCTGATAGCTTGGGGCATGCTTTTTGGCTTACAATGTTTTGACACCTGTAGTATTTAAAAAAACTTAAATATTCATTGTTTACACATTTTTAGAAAACTTAAGTCTTGTTCAAGAAATCAGTTAATCAAAAAGTACTATAGTGATAAAGAAAATTTGCAATTGTAGTTATATGATTTTCAACTATAATATGAATGACCTGAAGTTACCTAGGTTTTCATTTTTTTTTTTTTTTTTGAGACAGGGTTTCTCCGTGTAGCTTTGCGCCTTTCCTGGAACTCACTTGGTAGCCCAGGCTGGCCTCGAACTCACAGAGATCCACCTGGCTCTGCCTCCCGAGTGCTGGGATTAAAGGCGTGCGCCACCACTGCCCGGCTTCATTTTTTTTTAAATGCCATATCTAAGGTGGAAAAAATAACTAAAATTGATCTACTCTACCAGGGTAGAAGGAATGAGGGACATGGGCAACTTGAAGCTTAGTGCCTAAGGGCAGTTGACAAGCTACTAGTATAATTTAGTACAGAACCATTCCTTATTTTAAAATTATTTACAAATTTAACACTAGTCTCATTTTGTGTACCTTCTAAGAACCCCTAATTCTGCCTAGATATAGCATACACTAGTCAAACTATTTAGCTATGTTTAACTTTCTCTTTAATGCATCATCTATTGATTTCATACACTATGTTGGAAACTCTCAGGTATTTACTCATTTTTGCCAACCTGTTACTGAAGATTTGTGTTTGAAATGCACCTCCATGATCTTTTGATTGTGTTGAGCCCAGGGTTTCAAAGCTGCAAGTCCATCACTGAACATCATTCCAACACCATCCCTTTCACTTTGTCTCTATGTGCACATGTGGATACATTTATGCTCCACCTTACTTTTAAAGACATTGCCTCTGAACTTGGAGCACACTGGTTTGGTCAGACTAGCTGGCCAGCAAGTCCCAGTGCTAGGTATACAGGGCACACTGCTTTTGTGCCCACATTTTTACAATGGTACTAGGAATTGTATTCAGGGACTGGCAAGATGGCTAAGGGAAAGGGCACTGGCCACCAACCTTGGAATGAAAGAACCAACCGCCCCAAGTTGTCCTTTGACCTCTGCACACCACCCCTCCCAAGATAAATAAATGAAAACAAACTGAAAAAAATGTAAGTACTCATGCTTATATAACAAGCCCTTTATGACTGAGCCATTTTGCCAGCACTTCCTTTACACTTTTAAAAAGGTGAGATTCTCAAAACTAAGCATTTTCTTAGCTGCATTTCAGAGTAAGACAAAGCACCATTGTAACAAAATGCAAATGTTTAATTTTTCAAAACTTAACTATACTAATGAAAATAAATTATAGACAACTTCAACATTTGTACATTATCTTCATATAACTATAACAGTGCTTTCAAAAGACATCTTGGAAAGGATATTTTCACAATACCATGTTTCAAAAATAGGGCAACATTAAAGAACATTAGTCTGAAATACATCTCACAATGCTGAGAGGTATATTGTTCTTTATCAAATTAACTGTACTTTTATTCAAAATAACATGGTTTTTAATGACAATTATTTCTTGTCCATTTCAGTGATTTCTTGGATCCAAAACAAGATCTGTGTATTTATTTCCTTGAAAACATCATTTGTTGACCGTCCTTTCACTGCCATAGAATGATTTGCCTTTTCAATCCAATGGATTTTACTGGGAGCTTGCATTTTCTGTGCCACTTTCTCCAACAAGTTCTAAAGAAGAAATGGAAGAGGATATTAGACTCTATTAATATTTAGTAAAAGATTATCTTTTCCTCATCTATACTGGACTGGCATTCACTCAAAACTATTCATTAAATACCTGCTATATATGCAACTTGGAGTATATAATGAAATATCTACAGCAGTGTCAGTCCACTTATCTCAAATAATCACGTAATAGAATACACCCAAGCATTTGTTGGCACAAAAAACTTAAGCAGATTAAAGTTATTCAAATTTTTTCCCCCAAAAAATCTTTTCCTAAGGAAACTGTGTGCTCTGGGAAATAGTAGTTCATAATACTCAGTCATATATGAATGCTGCCAATGCTTACTTGAGAGTCAATAACAATCTCATTCAAAGCTGAAACGGTAAACCAAATATATACCCTAGTATCTCCCAAATCATAACAATCAGATATTAATTCTACAAATAAAGATGAAATCTACCAAATCCCTTTCTGGGAGACGCATTTTGTCAATGTGTTTTTATTTTTATGTACTACAAAGCTACAGGGTAACAAAGACACACAACTAACAGACTAATAAGCATTTTTTTTTTTTTTGGCAGGGTGGGTGTAGCCCTGGCTGACAACCAGCCTGGTCTTGAACTAACAGCAATCCATCTGCCTCTGTCTCTTGAGTTTGGGATTAAAGGTGTGGGTCACCATGTCCAGAAGCTGAATATGGCAGGTAATAATCGTCCCCTTAATATATTTCACTCATACAAATAGAATTCCAAGTCACCTTTTCACACATTTCATCTGCTGAGCCAGACACAAACAGTACAGGATCCTTTATACGAAAGAGATCTTCGTCTCTGAGTTTCTGTTGCTGCTTTGGATGGTGCAGTGGGTAAGAAATACAAATGAGACCTCGAACAAAATCATCACTGTCATCTGGCTCATTGTGACACATTACAGAAGCAGCTGCTCTCGAGCCCATTGAACGGCCTAAAACCAATTAAGTTCAATTAGAAATATAAACATATGCATACAATAGTAGCGATAGTATGGTAAAATTATATTTGCTGTTCTTTGTTATTTATTGAGGGGAAAAAAATTACTTAACTCAAAGAGTGGCAAGCAACAAATTTCAATGGTCTTAATGGAAACCTACAGCTTTATGAAAAGCTAAAAACTGATCTAGCTTACCCCAAAATTTAAAAAGCAATTATTTTTCTCAATACTTACAAAAGGTGAAGAAATTATTTCTCAATGCATCATTTGCAAGAGTAATAAAATGCTATGAATAAAGGTAGTAAGCCTTCTATTTTAACACATAAATGCTTAAAATTTGCTTTAAACATATAAAGTACTTTATAATAAAGTATCAAAGTTATGTATCAAAACAAAGTTATGTATAAAAACAAAATAACTAATTTTAATATTATAATGCAGCTAATACTGAAGCTTACCTCCAAGAAAAACACCAGCAAGTTTGTATTCTCCTGAGGTCTTTAGGTAATTCTAGGTAAATCAACCGAAAAATTATCAGTTCCTCTCATGTCATACTTCACTGGATATTCTTACCATTACTAATGTATAATTTATGCAAAGACATAATTTACAGATTCTTATAGGAGATATAGTTCTTTCCTCTTTGGTCATGTGTTCACTATTAATCCTTTGTCAGGGAAAAATCAACTTGCCTTTATAAAAATATTCAAGCAGTAAATTGTCAGACAAAGTCCAAGAACAGAGTCGTGTGAGAATTCTGAGTGCTTGTGAGAAAATGCCAAGAAAATAAGACAAGAGTCCTGTGACCTCAGCTTCTTCAAAACACAGAATTGTTCTTGGAATGGGTTTTCATGGGCTTTCCAGGTGTAGCAGGTAAGAGGGAATTTACTTCAGTGGCTGTTATTCATATGCCTCTACTGAAAAACATGTTTTTACAACATGTTTCTTGTCCTTGTGATTGAACACCTTAGCCATATGATTCGATTTTTCTTAACCCACAGAATATAAATTACCTAATGCTCTAAATAAAGTTGGTTATTGGCTGGGCAGTGGTGGCGCACTTGGGAGGCAGAGGCAAGCGGATCTCTGTGAGTTCAAGGCCAGCCTGGTTTACAAAGTGAGTTCCAGGAAAGGCGCAAAGCTTCACAGAGAAACTCTGTCTCGAAACCCCCTCTCCGCAACCCCCCAAAATAAATAAAGTTGGTTATTGCATGGGACTTTGGTCTGCCTAAATTTGCTGGCTCTTTTCTCCCAGGTCCCACCATCTATAGAGTGGTAAACAAGTGGTACCCAAACAGGGACCTGAAGTCAGCTATGAGATAAAGAGTGGGGACCCTCACAGAAGATGAATGAGCAAAATGGTGCAGAAACCAGTAAAAACTTTGCTGTATGTTGAGCTTGTGCATCATTTCTTAAAGAAAGAAGGACCACAGTATCAAAATCACAGCTACTAGATTGTTTGCAAGTTGGTTATGATTATAATCCCTGGTGTTTAGAAGAAGGAACTTTAGATAAAGAAGTATGGGACAGAGTCTGAAAGAATATTAAAAAGGCATATAAACAAGGGGGGAAAGTTCCTTGTTTAATTTTGGGTCACTTGCGCATTGATTTGAACTGTTAATAAAATATTTAAGGAAGATAAGTAGGATATTAATCATGACAAAGAGATGACTAATTCCTTGAATATAAACTGAATGGTCAAACCTTAAAATTGATAGAGGCAAAGAAGGAAGTTTTCCCTGTGCAGGCAAAATCAAAAGTAAAAATGGTGACACCTATGCCAGGGATGGTTCCCTCAGCTCCCTAACTGGAGCTTTCTATAAATACTTACCCTCCATTGTCTAAAAATGGCCTTGAAGCATGGGGTGAAGAATATGATAATTGATTGATAATTGATCTAATCTTGAATTCTCTCTATTTTCTGATAAGGACTTAGGAGATCCTATGAAAAAGCTAATTTTACAACCTAGGCAAGCTAAGAGCATGGCTGGAAAAAGTAATTCATCTACTGATTTCTCCTTGGTCTCATGAGCTGTGCTTGGTATTTCCAGGGCAATTTCAGCAAAATCAAAATGTCTATCTAATTATGCACTAACCAATCTATTTAAAACTCTAGAAGTTAAGAAGGTGTTGGATAGCCCTCATACATTACGTCCAGAGGCAAAGAAAGAACTACAGCTATTTGAATCCAGACCAAAAGAAAGCATCCACGAAGTGGATTCTTTCACTGCCTTTAAACTTATTTTTCCCACTAAACTGTCTCCTATAGGTATTATAGCACAAGATGATAAACCTTTGGAATGGATTTATTTGTACCTTAAGGGACATAAAATATTGCTTATCTTATTTTTCTGGTTCAATTAGTAAATAATTAATGTCAACAATTAATCATATGGGTCTCTTTTCAAGCTATTCTCTAGAATTTCCTATCAATGTAATAATGTAACTAATAGTACTGGACAGTTTGGATCTCTGCCGTTGGTGGCAGAGAATTCCAATGCTTCCAATATTCTAATGTTGTAATTTGCTTGTTTACAGAACACTTATGAATCAAATGACAATTAGATTTACCTAAAACATCTTAAATCAAAACCACTCTGCATATCCTATTAAAAAACAAAAAAGGGGGAGATGTCAGAACATACTCCAAGAATGGAGTCGTGTGAGAATTCTGAGTGCTTGTGAGAAAACTCCAAAACAAGGCTAGAGTCCTATGACCTTAGTTTCTTCAAAACACAGAATTGTTCTTGGGATGGGTTTTCATGCTCTCCCAGGTGTATTGGCTAGGAGGGAGTTTTCTTCAGCTGTTATTTATATACCTCTATGGAAAACATATTTTTGCCGCATGTGGCTTGTCCTTGTAATTGAACACCTTACTCATGTGATTCTTAACTCTCAGAGTATAATTGCCTCAAATTCTAAATAAAGTTAGCTATTGCATGAGACTTTAGTCCACCTCATTTTTAGGTCCCCCTCTCCCAGGTTCATGTCTCCAACTAGGGTGGTAAACAGTAAACTTGATAAGGGACAATTATTTTTTAAAAGCTAGTCGTTTCAAATTTGATGAAAATACTAGCATATAAGGGTAGTATATTTTGACATGCATAATAATATAGTAGGTTTAAAAATCTAGATCGGCATAACTATATTCTAAAGTTACATTATCCCAGTGAGAAAATTCTAAGTAGCTTCTTGGACAGCAGCATGAAAGAACACGTACGATATGAACATTCATCTCCAAGAAAACAAACTGATGACAAAAAAAGAGAAACACAACCACTAAATACCCTATGTATACTGCCAAGTTTCTAAGGATACTCATTAAAACACTTTTATCTAACAATCAGGTAACAAAATACCTTAAACTTATGAAGAATTTTAAGCAGAGCCTTGTTATAAGTAAATATATTTTTCTTACCAAAACTGCTTTATATGCCTTAATCCTATGTACAATATTAAGGCCTTTGCAAGTAAATCTTAGGCAGAAAAATCCATGAGATGCAAGATGGGATGCCAGTGACATCAAATGAGGAAGATTCATATCTCCTGATGCTCCATGTGTAAGAATTATTCCATATGCTATGTTCTTGTTAGGTACCAAACAAACGGCATCCAGTAATTTATTTCCAAAAGGTATTTTTAATTTAACCTAAAATTCAAGAGAACAAAAGGGTCAAATTATTTCCTTGACTATTTAGACAACTGAATAAATACTTGTATTTGTTTTGCTAAGACTCATGACGGAATGCATGGCCTCCAAACAAGTCATTATATTTATGAACTGTTTACTGTCTAGTACTTTAAGTGCTAAAGTATTAACTTTTGCAAGCATTCTTTATAATTCTATGAGGCAAGTACTATTCTTACTTTACAGATAAGGCACAGCAGATTAAGTAACTTGCTCAAGGTTATATAGCTATTAACTAAGAATCAAAGTAAAGTAGTCTTGTTCTGGCATTTACTCGCCAATTCTAATTCTGTACTGCCTTTCACCATGCAAACTGAAAATAAGACTACTATATGCAAGTGATGATTAACATATTCCCCCATCTCCCCAAAAGAATAATATGAAGATACAGAACAAATGACAATATCTTACCTCTGTATGACTCATTTTCACTGATGAATAATAAACATAAAGTGCATTACATCCAAGAAGCAAAGGGCATCTCCCTGAAAAGAAAATTCTGTTGTGAAAAGTGAGTTGCCAGACATGGATATGACCCCAAAACTATGAATGAGCACATTCAAAAGCTGAAATAAACACAATCTGAAACTAGTTCTCTACAAACTGGTATCTCTCTATATATTTATTATTTACTCTTATATTACTTTCAAGATATTTATGGGTACTCAGAACTAATTACAGGAGCTGGATTGTATTACATAAGGCAAGTGGGATACTTTGATGCAGAGGCCTTAAAATAGTTCATTCCAAACTGGGATGTTGTACCTTTACAAAAATATTTTTGAAATATATTTATAAGAATCTTCATTCTTAACCACCCCAACTTAATTTCTATATATCTACTAAATAATTTTCATCATTCCTTTTTCCATATAATATAAATCATTTTTAATTTACTTTCCCTACAGTTATTAAAATATTTTCATCATTTCATTTCCCCCTTTCCATGTAACAGAATTATGTAACCACAGTCTTTGTCATGTGATCCTATTGACTCTGGGGTTGGCTAATGGAACATTTCAAAGTGCCACTTCTGAGTTGAGCTATGGCAAATTCCTACAAACCTTGAACCACATTTCACCTTAACAATAGAGAAAAACTATCCCAGGAAGTTTTTCATTTTCAGCTAGAATCCCATAATGAAGACAGTTTGAGCAAATTTGAAGCCAAATTAAAGCCTGAACCCAGTCTAAATCACAACTGACCTGAAGAACCATAAACACGAATGGGTACAAGTTACTGTAATTTTTGTGATTGTTGTTCAGTATTCATTCCTTTTTATTTTAAGAGCTTTCATTTTTCAGCATATCATTGGCACCACAATTTCCATTATCACCCTTCATTGCATTTGTTTATGCCTTCATTGGCATTTGTTTATTAACTAGGTAACATTAACATGGCTCAAAGCTCAAAAGATACAAAGAGTATATTGTCTCATTCCACTTTTGCCTTTCACTCAGAACTCCTCTCAAGGAAACCAGTGTTATTTGCGTCTTGTGATTCTAGTTTCTAGGTGATATTATACTTATAGGTGTATGGGTATATTTGTAAGAAAAATTCACAGAAGAGGAAATGTCACATTAAATAATTTGTTTATAATTTTAAAAACTTTTAAAATAGACAGCACACATACATTTATCAATTTTTTTGTGTTGTATGTGTGTACAAGTGCATATATGTGTGTGTCTATATGTGGAAGCCAGAAGAGAACATCAGGTGTCTTCCTCTACCACTGTTAAGACAAGGCCTCTCACTGAATTTGGAGCTCATCAATTTGGATAAGCTGGCTAGCTAGCCAATAAGCTTTAGGTATCTGCCTATCTGGGTTCCTCCAGTTTGGGCCTGGCTTTTTTTTTTTTTTTTTTTTTTTTTTCTTGGAGCTGAGGACCATTGAACCCAGGGCCTTAAGCTTGCTAGGCAAGTGCTCTACCACTGAGCTAAATCCACAACCCCTGGGCCTGGCTTTTAAATGGATGCTGGGGATGTGAAAAACAAGATTCTCAGCTTTTACAAGAGGTACTTTACTTTATTAGCTGAACCATCTCCCAAGCTCCCAACACAAAACTTTGAAAATGAAAATGTAAATAGTGAGGTCTCTTCACATTTAATTTACTGTTAAACTTGTGTATATATATACATGTTTCCTCATTGTTCTGTTCATCTCACCCCACTCTCTTGGGCCTGGAAGTTATTAATCTGGCTACTAAAGCTGTGGAAGTTGAAAGAGAAGTGGATAAAGAAATTATGGCTTTGGGGCCCTTATTTTCATAAATATATCCTTACAATTACTTGTCTTGAGTTCTCCAGTTAAAAAAATTCTTTGTCAAAATAGGCCTCCTTCTAGTCTAATTATGGGGAATGTAATCACTCTCAAGAGTGTGAAAGGGGAAAAGGAATCTAAATATCCTACTGCTCCTTAAAAAGATTTAACCTAACATTTTAAGTCTTCCACCTGTACTCACATCGATGCACTTCCAACTATATCTAGTGCTGCCAGTTTGTGTGTTTTGGAGGTTATGATTTATTCAGACTAGTTTTATTGTGTTCCTAACTGCTGTTTTAGCCACTGCTTTTTAGAATTTATTATTCAACTGTTAATATTTCCCAAGGTCTTTATTCCAGTGACTGTGTCTCCAAAAAAAGGGGGGGGGGGATAGGCAGGTTGGGTGGGGCTTGCCTATAATCTCAGGACTCGAAAGACAGAGATAGGAGAATCACTGCAAGTTTGAGACCAGTCTGAGCAAGACCCTGTCTCAAAAAACAAAACAAAAACAAAACAAACAAACAAACACAAAACAAACCAAAAAACCCAAAAACAGCCGGGCGGTGGTGGCACATGCCTTTAATCCCAGCACTTGGGAGGCAGAGGCAGGTGGATCTCTCTGTGTTCGAGGCCAGTCTGGTCTACAGAGTGAGTGCCAGGACAAGCTCCAAAGCTACAGAGAAACTCTTGTCTCGAAAAACCAAACCAAACCAACAACAACCCAACCCTCAAAAACAAACAAACAACCCCCCCAAACCTCAAAACATCCTTCCCTGTAATTTTAATGAGATTTCAGAAAGTAGTAAAATTACATGCATGTTTTCAAATTACCATCAACCTAGAAAGCTCTTCCATATTAACCTGGGGTTTTGTTTTTAAGAAAAACTCTGTTCTCCCAACTTCATGATGAACTTGTTCTTCACGACTGTTGCACACACTTATTCTAGACTGTTTGAGTAACCCTGAAAATGTCCCATAGGGTAAAAGCCCAAAGCAAGTGACAGTGTCGATTTTATCTCTAGCTTTTTTTGAAAGATAAGGGAGTACTGAAGCCTGGCTCCTCCGTCTCAACGTCTAACACAGCAGATGGGGAAAACAGCACCAATCCGGTAGAAGCAAGGTGACAACTGAATGCTGACACACAAAACAAATGCAGTTGATTTGGTACCGGTTCCAAATGGTGTGGATAATCAAGAGTTGAGTTTGGGAGGAGGGGCTACTTATCTTCAGAAGGTAGTATTTTATGGTCATACCTTCCAGAAAGCCGTCAGAACGCCAGGACCACCTGACTTCCAGTTTTTTAAAAAATTACGTATTGTCTGTTACGTCTGCAGCACCACGTTGGCTGTCACCGGGCGAACAAAACTAAGTTCTAGTCTTAACCACTAAACGAGCAGAAAATCCAAACCCGAGGTCAGGGGTCAACGGGAATCGTCGTTTATTCGCTTAACGAGCGCGTGAGCCCCGGGCCGGGCAGCCGCCACCGGGGGAGAGCCTCACGTCTGCGAGACGGCTTCTCTCCCGTCACCCGCGACAGCCCACGACGAGTCTCCGCGGCGCGGCCCGGCCCCGCCTGCCCGCCGTACCAACCCCGTGTCCGCCCTCCCGGGCAAAACAGACCACCGGCTGCTGCCCGACGGCGGCAAGCTTCCTCAGACGCCTCAGGCGGCGACCGACAGCCCCCGAGGAGCCGCCCGCCTGGCGCGACCCCCGCTGCCCGCGCTTCCCGCCGCGGCCGCCGCGCTTACCAGCGAACGCACGAGACCGCGGGAGCGCAACCGTCCTCACTCTCTTCAGGGAGCGAACTAACACGCTCGAAGCGACCGCCTTGCCACCCCCGTCAGCGCGGTGCGCTACTGCGCACGCGCGCGCGGGCTCCACCCCCCCGGCTCGTGGGGCGCGCCGCTAGGCACGCCGGGAAGGAGAGTTTTCTGCTTTCCTGAGCTCGGCCCCGCCTCTCGAGGGCTGTGATCCTGAAACCGGAGTCAGTGCGCTGGTGCAGCCGAGCAGCGCGGGAAAGCCGCTCCGGTCACCACCTTGGCCTCTTCCGGTCCGATCGTCCCTTCAGAAGACATGGAGTCAACTCTGACTAGCGCCTTCCTCTCAACCCGCCATGGATTCCTTATCCTTTTGGTTTTCAGGCGCGCCTACCCCGCTGCCGCATGCCACAAAACAGCTATGCATGTGATCCAACACAAAATCGTGCACTTAAACATATTTTCTAATTAATTAATTAATTAAATTTTTTGCGACTTAATTTCCTTTTGACAACTTCACTGCGTGGTTCGGTGTGAGCTTTGTATAGGGCAAAGTCAGAACACAGTGTCAAAAGGTTGGATGCTTCTCACCTGTGCCAAGCTGGGCTAAGGCTCCATCATTAACACTGCCTTATGTACTGGTCACCCGAAGGGTGTGTTGCTACCACCTTTGTGCCCATCACTTAGTGTGTCATCACAGCAGCTGCATGGCCCTGAGGTTACAGGTCCCATCCCCCAGTCCCTCCCAAAGTCCATCTGTACCTCCCTCTTCAGAGCCGAACCGAATCCGGCTCTTTCCGTGGGTCAAAAGGTCCCAGGCTTCTGGGCTTTGATATCTCACCCCAAACCTATCAAAGCCGGCCCCACTGCAGAGCTTTTACTGTTCAGCTCATCAGATTACACCTTTTACTTAGGACTTCACTCATATGTCTTTTCCTGTTTTTTCTTTGTGTGTGTGTGTGTGTGTGTGTGTGTGTGTGTGTGTGTGTGTGTGTGTGTGTGTTTTCAGGGAGACTTTTCAAAGTTTAAACTTCCCTTAATGAAGAAAAGGTTGCGGGGCGAGACGACAGACAGACAGACAGAGAATGTGTATGTGTATTTGACTGAATCTCCTGGTGTAGGATAAAGTCTAGCAAATGTTTCCTAAATGAATGAATCCCTCTCTGGTACCTGTGTTAATCCCAACTTCGAGAATAAGACCACTACCATAGTTTGAGACAAATTTGAAGCAAGCTTGATTTTTATCCGGTGCACCCAAGAGCTGGCCAGCGACTGCCTCCTAAGTCAGGTTATGCCCAGAGTCCATCTTTTGGGCTCCTTTTAAGGAGTAAAATCACAAACAGTCTTAAAGAAGAGAGACAATGGGGCAATAAGGAATTAAAAAAAAACTTAAAAAAAAAATCATGTGATCACCCACCATGTGATTAAGAGGGGTCAGGGAGAGTCAAGGTATTCCCAAAAACAAATCAAGGTCATGGGTTGGGGAAGGTCAGGTTCCAGAAAATAGAGCTACTCAACTCTCACAGTAAGTAGAAACTTATTTTCAAAAATACAGCATAATGGCTCCTGCCTTTAAATGGAGTCAGGCAGGTTCCTCACTGTCCTCTTTTCTGGCACAGTACATACTAAAATGCAATTAGCTGAAAGCCATTTATCACAAGTGCTTTCTCAAGTTACAGTCTTAATACTTTTAGTTAATATTTCCTTATTGTCGCTAATCTTCCTTCCTTTCTTCCCTCCCCCTTTTCTTCCCCCAGTCTCTCTCCTCACTTCTTTGGATTGTTGGGGATGGAACCCCAGGCTTTGTCCATGCAGTCTACCACTATGCTACATTGCTAGTTCCTGTCTGCTATTCTAGTTATGCTTTATTTACTCTATTTGCATGTCCTAAGTTTCAATTAAAGTATACAATTTGATGACTTCTAGTAATTATACAATTATTTGCAGCCATCATCAAATTCTAAGCACATATCATTTCTAGAAGAAACTTGCTACTCTTCTTTCCTACCTTTAACACCAGACAACCCCCAACATGATTTGTGTCTACAGATTTACCTTTTCTGGATAGTTCACATAAATGGAGTCATGGGCTGATAGCTTTGATCTGTCATCTTGCACTTAGAATGTGCAAATGTACTCTGCTTCTTCTCACCAACTCATTTCTATTGCTGAATCCCATTAAACAGTTTTATGTATCCATTTACCAGCCTGTGAATCATACTGCTACAGTATTCAGAGATTGCTGTGGTCAAAGAAGCAGGGCAAGACTTTAAGACATTAGGCTGTAGGCTAGGAAGATGGAGAATGGTTCCCAAGGCAAGAAATGTTAGGAATGCAGCATTAGAAGAAAAAAAGGCAAATGCCCCACTCCAGATCTCAGACTGTGACTTCCAGAATTGTAACAACACAAGTTGTTGTCACAGAAGTAATAGGAAACTAATATAAAACCTTTATTTGTGAACCAAAATTTGAGTTCTGCATGTACTGGAATATAATTTGTTTTGATGATTTCAACCACTTAAGACGTTAAAATTATTCTTAGCTTAGAAGCTATGGAAGATGGGTAGTGGGCCAGATTTGCTCTGTGAGTAGTTTAAAATGTCCTAAGTCAAGACCAGGCATGGTGGCCCACTCCTTTAATCCCAGCAGTCAGGAGGCAGAGGCAGGTAAAAGGAACTCTATGAGTTTGAAGCCATTTTGCTATACATAGAATTCCAAGCCAACCATAATTATCTAGTAAGCCCATGTCTTAAAAAAAGAGAAAAGAAAAAGAAAAAAGAAATTAAAACATAAATAACCACATGATATAAAAGTCTCAAGAAGTAAAAAAAATGAGAAAAAAAACCAATGTCTAAATCAATTACCATACCAATTAATTAAGCATGACCAAATAATACAATGAGCATAGCTTTTTACACTGTTTCAAAATTAAAATGCTATTTCTGTAATTCACTATAAATGAATGCAACAAAACCAGAAAAATAGAATACAAACAGTTCCAATAGCTATCTGAAAAAACAACTGCTATTTAAAGTTATTCTGATTGATAAGCTTTAATAAATTAGTAAATTTTTAATATTTTACCAGTGGCTTATCATAAGCTATAGCAACAGTCAATGTCCAATTAGCATATTTAGATTAGGGTTAAGTAGACACCACTACTCAACCCTGTGATGCCATTATCAGCCACAACCCATACTTATTTATTGATTGGAAGTTTCCATTCTTTTTCAAGAAGAGACAATAACTATTCCCTGATCTATCTTTGGAACTTAATATAGTATCTGAATGCATATTAGGTGCTCAATAATATTCATTGTATGAATTTCAATTAGTGATGGTTAACTTGGTTGGGCTATTCCCTAACATAAGGTCAAACATTCTGGATATTCTTCCAGGGCATTTTTCAAGGAGACTGACTGTGGGACTTGTCTAACTGTAGGAGAACATGAGTGGCAGGCCTAAAGGCATATTACCAGCATGCCTGGCCCCCAGCTAGTACTTGCTTTGCATTTTTAAAGTAATTACTCATTTACCCATTTAAAATCTGTTGCCCCTTCCAGGTTCAGGCAAGCCTGTTAGATCCTAAAAAGAATGGTCTCTGTACTGAAGATGCTGAAAGTCTGGGCTGGAGAGTCTACAGGCAGCTACTGCGAAATATGGTGAGTATATAACAAAGACTCAGAGGTGCTACATTCTTGAAATGAGCTTGACAAAGAAGAATGGATCCTGGCTTCCATACCAAGGGAAAAGCAAATACCAGGGCAGGAAGGAAACACGCATTGGGTAGACAATTGGGTGACATTGGGTAGACAACTGGGTGATAGGGCTGTTAGTAAGCGGTAACAGATTTGATTACAACAGAGGCAGAGGCCAGATAAAGGCAGTTCTTGCATGTTTTATTAGAGTGAGGTTTGGTTGGGATTGAATGAATAGCCATTCCAAGATTAAAAACAGCTTAAAAGAGACAGTTATTTGTATTTTAAGACAGAGTCTTTGTGAAGGGCCCCCAAAAAGCTTGACCACACAGCAGCCATGACAGGCTTAGGGGCCTAGACACAGCTTCTGTGACAGGCTTACTGACAGGCAACACCCAGATCCATGAAAGCCTTAAGCTGATACCACCCAGGGATGAGTACCTGACATCCCAAACATTCTAACCATTAAATAGGGTGGCCAGATGCCCTTGAGTCAGCCCAAACCTATTTTGTTTTATTGATACCCCTAGACAATTGTGAGCCAATCAGGGTCCTGAACCCTGGAAATCCCCTCATCCCATCCTCTGCTATGATAAAAACTCTGCCCAACCTTAGCTCAGGGCTCTCTGCTCTCATCGCTGTGTCAGACAGACCAGAGGGACCAAGCTCCAGAGCTTGAAATAAAGGCTCTTTGCTTTTACATGCAGGATTCGGCCTCCATGGTGGTCTTTTGGGGGTCCCCACGGCGATTTGGGTATAACATCTTACTGTCTTCCAAGCCAGCCTCATATATGTCAAGCTGGCTTGAAACTCACTATGTAGCTCAGACTGGCCTTGAACTCATGGCAATCCTCTTGTCTCAGCCTCTGGAGTGCTGGAATTACAGGCATGAACCACCATAATTGGCTGGGTTTTGTTTTGTTTTTGGAGGTCTATTTGATTCAGAGCAAGCAGTCAGCAGGCCAGAATCAAGGACCCAGACTTTCCTTTTTCTATTCATAGCTAATAATTGATACAAAATAGGCCCTTAAAGGTGGTTTTATTATAAAAATTTAAAAATGTTCTGTAAAAGACAGTCATGGGAATACTGCATAAGAAGAAACACTCTGAGTATGCAAACAGTCACCACTAGATTTTACATTGTTTTTGGAACTAATACTTAAAAATGATCTTCTCTACAGTTAAGAAGAGTCTTCAGAGCACCATCATTTGAATAGAAGATATTTTGCATATCAGAGTTCATCTTTGGTCTGTAATTAAGAAGAAAAATTTAAGAGCCACTAAGAAATCTTAGGAATCAAGAATACTCATACCAGACAACTATTTTCTCCTAAATATGATGAGAGGAGGAAAAAAAATAAAAAATCAAGTTTCTTTTAGGTGTTTTAAGGGCCCAGGACTATTTCTGGAGGACCAGAATCACCCAGGTATAAAATCAAACTCAGCTTCATGGGAGTGAGTGATGGAGACCTTAAATATCCAGGGGTCTGTATTACCATCACACCCTGTGTTACAGATAGTAAGTGTGAAGAGATGGCATAGACAGAGAGCAAGATATGCCACTGTCATTCAAACTGCCAACTAGTTGGTGGAAGTTACTGATCTGGTACCAGTTCTATCTAAATCACATAAGAGATAAAAAGGAAATGAAATTGCCCAATCTCATGCAGAGCCAAAAGAAACTTTGTGACATTTAATCAGTTTCATTATTGGCTCTAGTGACTCTTACAGCACAGAAAGGGATTAGCATAAATGATGTGCCACTGAGGGGCCAATGAATTAGTGGCAAATCATTTCTCAACAAAGACACACAAAACTGCAAAGGACCAAAATTCCTACTTACAGATTGTCATGGTGTACAGAGAGTTCCACCAGGCTAATAATTAGCTACCAAAAATTGAACTTGCATTCAGAATTTCTGCATTTTCACAGACAGTGAGCAAGCACATGGACTGGTTCTTTCACATCACTAGAGCCAGGTTAGTCTTGTTACCTTTCTCCTATGGCACGTGCAAGGAAAGAGGTCATCTTCAGAATGTGGCTCTACCCTCTTCATACCCTCTCGAATTTGTGGCTTGCTCACTTGTAAGCTGGCATAGCCCTGTTAAGTATCAATACAAAAGCATTCCTTAAGTAGCTCTTTAAGTATACTCACCAAATGAGACACACTGGAACTTACAAGTAAAGCATTCTTTTAATGCATGTGCACTTAACTGTTACCTAAAGTGTCCTCTAAATCCATCTTAAATGCCCAATACAGAGTTCCTGATTGTGCTGTGAACATTGGCTACCAATTCCTAGTAGATAGATCCCTTATTAGACAACTGTGTGTGTATGTGTGTGTGATGTGTACGTAGATGTGTAGAGGCCAAAAGAGGACATCAAATGCCTTTCTTAGTCTCTCTCCACATTATTTTTAGAGGCAGGGTCACTGAACCTGGAGCTCACTGATGGACTAGACTGGCTAGCCATAAGATCCAGGGATCCTCTTGTCTCTGCTTCCCAATGCTGGGATTACAGATAAATTCTGCCACAAACATCTTCACAGGGGTGCTGGGGTCCTAACTTGGTCCCCTTATGTGTGTGCAGCAAGCACTTTACTCATCGAGATATCACTCAGCCCTATCTTGTGTTTTTTGAGACAGGATATCACTATAGTTGGCCTACTGAATGTAGATCACACTGGTGTCAAACTTGCAGCAATCCTCTGTCTTTATCTCCTGACAGACTTACAGGTATGTGTGCTACATCTAGCGTATTCACATTTTAAAAACATTGTTTTTAATTATGTGTCTGAATGTGGATATGTGCATGAGTGTGGATGCCAACAGGGGCCAAGGGATCAGATGTCCTGAAGCTAGAGTTACAGGCAATTGTGAACTGCCCAACATGGATAATGGGAACAGACCATCTTTGCTTTGTAGCAGGGCCTAAGATATTGTGTTCAATATCTGGAACTCTGAGACAAGAATTTTAATTTAGCTCTACTATTATTACTAACAAATAACTTGTTTACTTCTGCATTCCTTTTTAAGATAAGCCTTTTAAATCATCAGATATGTTGGGATTACAAATTACAAATTCTTGGTCCTTGAAAATAATTTTCAAGAAAAGGTATGAGTTATTTGGGGCCAAGAGGCTGATTATACTTTGTATTTTGTTTAATTAACACTTTTTTTTTCATAGTTTTACTGATTGATTGCCTACAGTACCCAGTATTGCCAAGCAGCTTCCCATGCAAGTACTAAATAGGTCCGACCCTGTTTAACTCCTAGATTAGATGAGCCTGGACTTGTTTGAGGGAGTACAGCCATAGACCCCTTGAACTCTCAACCTGTTAGTCCATGGGTCTTTTCATACCCAAGGACTTGCTTTCCATATACACAGCCCCACATCCCAAGCCCAGGCCCTGAGGCCTAATATGAAAGCTTTTCACTTGATGTTGTTACATTCTCGGTAGTCAACATTTTTTTTCCTTATAGTACCTGGAACTGAACCCAAAGCCTCATGCATGATAGATATGTGCTTTATACTCCAAGCCTCAAATACTTAGTAGTATTTGTGTCTAATTTTTACTAAAGTGGTATATGTCTTTATATTAGTATATGTTTAGAAAATTTTATACTAACTGTTGTTTGACTATAACATGTCTAGTCACAAGCAATATGAAAGGTGTGTGTGTGTGTGTGTGTGTGTGTGTGTGTGTGTGTGTGTGTGTGTGAAAATACTAACCTGGAAAAGTTTGAAGTAATAACAGAATATATCATCACCCATTAGATTATTTCTTGCAAATTCTTGTCCTGCTTTTGCTATCTTCTTTGCCTATGGGAATTAAAAAAACACCCTTTAATGGTACTCTTTCTCTTGCAGACATATGCAAACAGACCTTCAGACTACATAGTGAGATGAGACAGAAAACATATCTTTGGGAGTAGCTTATGTAGCATTTCAGAGTATATTTGTTCAGCCCAGAGAGGTTTGCAAGATTTGAAAGTACAAGTTGCCATGTGGGATGTCTTAGAGATAAGTCTCCCTTGGAGAGAGGAGCTAGACCCAAGCAAAGTAACGACAGCTTATCAAGTACAGAGTATAAGCCTTGCATGCTCTCTCTTCATTTTCAGCAGACACTTAACCTCAAGCTTACTAGTAGTAATAATTCCTCATTTTACTCTCCAGTAGTTACTAGCATCTATTGCCAGACAGGCACTGCTTATGCCCCCAACCAACCTGACTGAAAAAGAAAATATAATCAAGGTTAGAGTTTAGCAGAGTGGTCAGCTAATCTAAAGTGTTGTGGTGATGTTCACTTTGAGGGGAACTGTGAGCTACCCTTGGTCAGGCAGCATCCCATGTATAAGTAAAAGCTGTATCTGAACATCCCAGTGTCCAGGCATATTTCCAACACTCCTGTGATGCAGTGGTGCAAGTAGGAGCAAGCCTTCTAGGAGAATGACCTTACCTCTGCATCATGATCTTTTGCCCACTTAAGCTTTTCCAGCAGATCGCTCAGGTTGCTTTTGACTGGAATGTAGTGTTTCCAAGGCTGCAGCTCATTGTAAAAGTGTTCATAGTAGATGGAGTCCTGCTTTAGAACCACGCTGTCGCCTACCAGTAGATAGGGCAAGCGGTACGCTGCCACAGTACCGTCGATATTTATTTGATACTTGTGCTGCAAAGCAGGAGAGTAAAAGAGCCTTCACTAAATTCCCATTCTACTCTTTTTACTTCCCCCTTCTATGCACCATTTTTCCATCCTCAGACAGACTTTCCCTCTCCATCAACATTTAATAAGTGTTCTTATTATATACTATGTTGACCTAGAGCTAAAGGTCCATTCGATATGGCCTCAAATTTCTCAACCACAGCTACACATCTATCACCGAAGCAGCTAGCAAAGTAATAATATGGATGCCACAAGGCTACACCATAAGGAAAGGTAGAGCTTTGACTTTGTAAATACTCTGATTCTTTGTTGATTTACACGTGCATCTATGGCAGCACATTCTGTGCCATGTCACTAGAATTTTTAAAATATGACAAGGCTACACATATGTCTTAAGGGA